GTTCCCAGTGAGCGCAAAGCATTGGTGCCACAGCAGGGGTCGAACCATTCTCTTACAGGTTGTGAGTGCAGATCCTGACTGCTCTAAATGGCCCTTCTTCCTCTCTCACCTGTCAAAGGTTGTGTGTTTTGGGCAGCCAGGGGATTTGGATGCTGGAGAAATTGTGGCTGCAGGTTGTGTCATTCGCTGCGCTGGGAGAGCCCATAGTGGCTTCCTACTGCTATGCAGTTTGTATGTTGGACTGGGGGAGAGTGTGGGGTTTGTTGAGTGATACTGTCTTGGCATGCCTGCCATTGCTGTGGCTTGATGTAAGAGGTGTTGATAAGCATCATGGTGACTGCGGAGTGACGACATCGTTTCCAGGGGGGTTGTGTGAGCACAGTGATGTCAGTATCCACGAACTTTAGGATCAACCATGAGTGTTGATCCTAAAGTTTGTGTACACTGCCATCGCTGTGTGTTTGCTGCTATGAGGTGGGAGAGGATCCCAATCCTGTTTTGCTAGTGTGGCTTTTGGTGTAGTGGCAGCCCTCTCTGCTGGACTGTGGCACCGGCCCAGCTGCTTCTGCCACAAAGCATCCGGGTTTATAAGGCTCCTGAAGTCAGGGACCTCAATAGAAATGCCCAGGGGCTTTGATTTCCCTTAGAAGCCCATCAGGAATGAGAATTATCCAGAACTCTTCCAGGAGTTGTAGATATTTGATCATATTACCTGTGATTATTGGGACCTTTTTTCCCCTTAGGGAAGTGGCTTGTTCACATACAGTGTGTATTGGCAGGTCACTTTTCCAATAAATATCTCAAAAGCTGTTAAATGGATTTTAAAAGTGCCTTATTTTTAATGTTGGGAGGCAGGATTAGGTTTAAAATGGCAGTTGCGTTTGTCTTGGTGTGTGTCAGGGTACCCTGCCGACCATGGAGCAGTTAAGAGGTGCTGCCCCCTTTTGCATCCCCACCATTTCAGCTCAAAAATTCCTGCTCTATTTTTACTTCTTTCTTGACCAGATCAAACCTTTGACTCTGCTTCATGACGTTTTCTGCTTCCTTGAGCCAGTTTTTCTGTTAAATGTATACAATTTTAAACGTGTTTCCATAAATTATGTATAAATGGCATATGTTCCGTCAGACATGCAAGAACTTCCACTGCCCTTGCTGTGCCTTTACAGGGATGGCCCTGATGGTTTTATTGACAATGTCAGGAAAGGCACAGACCGTCGTGTCCTTCAAAAGGCCATGCTAGGCCAAGCTGTTCAGTTCATGGTGAAAACAGAAATAAAAACCTGATCGGAACCCAGTTTTTTGTACGCCTTGTTTTCACAAGCTATTCTTTGCAGCCCTCACGGGTTCTTGCTTTCTCTGTGCAGAAAATCCACCCGCATGTGGTCTGTTGATTTCTCTCTCCCCCTGCCTCTCCCTTTTGGGAAGTAAAGGTCACCATTTGGTTTCTAGAAGGCTGCAAGCCCATGCACAGCTGGATCTTTGTCCTTAGGACGATTCATTCCCTCCAACCAAGCTGCAGTCTGAATTCCAGACAAGTCAGGAGAGGTCAAGCACATTGGGAGGATCTCGGCTGTGTTGTTGTGTCAGATTTCTGCTGGGCCACAAGACGTTCACATCAGGAGCACAGCTCTGCCAACCGTTTGCTGGGCAGCTGGTTTCCGGAATGTGCAGGGAGCTTGAATTTAACTCCCTTTGCCCATCTGACTGCGCGGCTGGCGCTTCCAGATTTCTTCTAGGCCTTCAGCAGCTTCATTGGGAGGTGCCTCCTCTGACCTTGAGCTGCCTGAGGAACAAGGCCCTCTGTCCTTGTTTGGCCGGGGGCGCAAGTGACTTTCCTTCAAGAGGCATTTTGTTTGGGTCACTGTTTTGAATTCCTGGGATGCGAAGACTCAAGGCCCGACCTCTGGCAGTGGATTTCATTCTCTCCAGTCTGTCAGCTTCACCTTGCTTTGCGGGTTAAAAATGCTCCAGGAGTATGTCAGATCTCTACAGTTTTAGCTAGGCAGCTGTAAAAGAAAAAGGTATTTCTGCAAAGTGGCTAAGGAAGCATGCAAAAGAAATCTGTCCTTTCTGAGAAAGATCTACTGCAAGGGTGGCCAGACTTACTTAACCTAAGAGCCACGTAGAATAAACGCCAGATGTTTGAGAGCCACAGGACCTGAACAAATATTACCCACACATTTTAATGGAAAAATATGCAAATTTGCTTTTTCTCCAAGCTGGCTGGCGGGGGAGGGGGGGGCTTTGAGAATGCACTTAAAGTTGTTTTCTTTCTCTGCTCCTGCTTCCACCTCAAGCTTACCCAGGGAGGGGAACACTGGCTGGGGAAGGGAAGACCAACTGGGGAGTCATGCCTCTGCTTCACTTCCCCAGCCGCCCTGCCGGGAGCCACACAATGGAACAGTTTGGCCTCCCCTGATCTACTGCATCCAGATATGTCACGGGTAGAAAAGATTCCCACAATGGTTGAAGAGAAACTAAGTCCTTCTAAAACCTGGGAAGGCACCAGATTTTTTTATTACATTAAGCGTTTATACTCAGCCCCTCAATGAAAGAACTGACATGTAAGTTTAAAATCACAGTCTTCTTAATAATAAAAACACTCATTAAAATTACTGAGCCGGCAAGATTAAAGTACAACCAGCAAAAGAATCTTAGACAACAGAGTAGCAATACTTAAAAAAAACCCCAACCTAGAGTAAAGTCAGAATGCCTGTAAAACAGAGGGAGGGATGGAGGGAGAACCAGGTCCTCCTTCCAGAAGATGCGCAGCGTCCATAAGAGGAGGTTACATCTTTGCTTGAGTTTAGTTGTCACACACACACAGAGAGAGTCCAGGATGCTGTGATAAAGTGCTTTCCTCACCTTTTATGCTCTGCAAGTGGCACTGGTAGTCAGGAGGGAGCTGCCAAAGGTTGTGGGCTTTTTACCGCAAGATTGTGCTGCATGAGGATTCGAGGGTGTCCGATCGCTTTAATTACACAGCACTATCTCAAAATGAAAACTGTTTTTCCTTTCATTTATTAGCTTAATTGACCAGAGGTCTTAAGCCAAACGTACAAACAGTTACTATAAAACACATTACATATAATTACAAGATAATTTAGATCAAACATTTTTACAATTAAACTAATAAACATACTTATAAACAATATTAATAGACATTTTATAAACTTCTATAAACTGTATAAAATCCCATGATATTATGGAAATTAATTTTAAAATTTGTATACATTAAACTACCTACAGCAAAATATCGATAGATATTTTGCCACCAAGCGAGTCGTTTCAGGGTCTTCATCTGCTAGCAGTATGATTATCACCCAAGGTTCCATAGGGAGGTGATGTCTATGTAAAATAGGAGTAATCCAACAGGATCTGGCGTCAATCCACTGGTGGCAAAATAACAAAAGGTGATCTAAGGTCTCTATTGCCCCTGATCCACAATTGCACAATCTATTTGAATACTGTTTTTTAGCAAAACGGCCACTTATCTCTGCAGTTGGAAAAACATTCAACCTAGAAAGCGTGAAGACATATCTAAATCTAGGGGATGTAAGGAAGCTCATATATGAGGAAATTTTCTTAGGTGGCACAATCCCTAAGACAGAGTTGGAGCATACTCGCCTAGCACGAATTGAAGTGCTGAGTCGGTCAATGTTTGTCACCCTCAATCTAATCAAATTTAGTGCTTCTTGATAGTTTATATTGTTAAGCACTGTAGGGGCAAGACCAATCCTCTCCAGCTGTTATCTCTATGTTTTGCCCACGTACATTTATAATTATCCTTTAAAGAATAAAGAAGACCCCCTTGGGCATTAGGTGTCATATAAAGAACTTTCAATCTCAATTTAAAGGCGGCCTTCCAGACTCTCGACTCAAAGGAACATTGTGCAAATTCTTCTCTAAGTGCTGTCCCTGCGACACATTTTTAGGGACTCCTGCAATTCTACACAAGAACTGGAGAAGGATCTGATCTGATGATTCAGAAATTTCTTTGATCCAGATAGCAGCACCATATAAATCTTGGGAAGTAACTTTCGCATTAAAACCTGTAATGGCCATCGGAACATACTGGCCACCTCTTGAATAGTAGAACCTAAGGAGGGCATTAGAATTTGCTTTGGCAATTTCAGTTGCTGCTCTTATATGATGTTTCCAATGGCAATTGCAGCTAAACACTATACCCAAATATTTGAAATGAGACACTTGTTCTATCTCCGCACCCTTAACCTTCCATAGTCTTTGCTTTAAACAAGGTTTGTTGGAAAAAAACCCCATTATTTTTGATTTTTCACAATTAATCATCAACCCCTCTTGGATACAGTAATCAGCAAAAGCGTTTACTAGCTTACATTAGCCAACTTCTGATCTGGATAGCAGCACTGCATCATCTGCATAAAGTAATATAGGTACTTCATGTCCTGCTAGTATGGGGACAACTGTTTTTAAAGAAATGCCCAGATTCCCTGGCCTTGCACAAATCAATCTTAAGTCAGACATCACACCAGCTGGTGGTCTGGGCTCCCAGATGTGTGCAGCACAGCAAGGGAAGTCATGGTGTTGAGGTGTTTGTCTGCCATTTATTTCCCATTCTCTGAGCGCCTGGCTTTATTGCTTCACTCCCATCTCCACGTCGCAGCGGCCTCTGGATGCAGAACACTGGCCGTAGCTGTGACTTGTCAAGCTGGACATTGTGTCAAGCCATAGCACAAATGGTTGCACACAAGCAACTTCAGACATGGATCCTGGGTCTGATCTGCTAGTTGGTTTCAAGTTATGGCTTGTCAATTCAGACATCACAAACTAGCCATAGTTTACCCTAACTGTAGTTTACTGTGGCTTCTTGTGATCTTGGAATGAGCCTGTGTGTGGCTTTTTCTTTTTTTAAAGTTCGGTTTTATTCAAGAGTAAAATATTACACTTGGGTTAGAATTCGTTACCTGGAGAATCCTTTCTTCCACCCTCTCTAATGAACTTCTTTCTCTTTTCTATTCCAGGAGATGCCCAACTCTGTCTTCCTGGTAATGGAGGTGTGTATTCATTTTTCTTCTTGTACTGAATTTGGATAAAATTCTATTTTCATCCTATGCATCTATCACAATTTTATCCTGACCTTTCTCTAAGGATTCCTCCCTCCTCTGTTTTATCCTCCCAGAAACCCTGGAGGGGGTAGTTTATGCTAAGAGAGAGCCAAAGATCATCTGGTGTAGTGGTTAGAGTGTGCGGCTGGGAGTCCTGGGTTCTAATCTCACTGGATAACTTGGGCCAGTCACTCAGTCATTTACCTCACCAGGTACAGATAAAATGGAGGAAGGGAGAACCATGAATGCCACTGAGTATATTGGAGGGAGAAGGGCAGGGTAAAAGGAAAGTATAACAAATGGTCCTCAAGTCCTGTACAGTTTGGTGTAGCCAGTTTGGTGTAGTGGTTAAGTGCGCAGACTCTAATCTGGGAGAACCGGGTTTGATTCTCCACTCCTCCACTTGCACCTGGCTGGATGACCTTGGGCAAGCCATAGTTCTGTAAGAGCTGTTCTTGAAAAAGAGCAGTTTCTGTCAGATCTCTCAGCCCCACCTTCCTCACAGGGTGTCTGTTGTGGGGAGGGGAAGGGAAAGGAGTTTGTAAGCCGCTCTGAGACTCCTTTGGGTAGTGAAGGGCGGGGTATAAATCCAATCTCTTCTTCTACAAATGTATTGACGTCTCCTTGCTCCAGTCAGTTAAATAAATAAATCTGGACTCCAAATTTAAAACTTGAACAGACTGTATTTATACTACACATATTTCACATGTTTGTGTGTGTACACAATATTTTAAAATGTGTAATTACTTATAGAATCATAGAATATTAAGTTGGAAGGGACCTTGGAGGTCATCTAGTCCAACCCCCTGCACTCTGCAGGAGCATAGCCGAAAGAGAGCTCTACAACATACCCGAAAGATGGTCGTCTAGCCTCCGCTTTAAAATGTCCAGCGAAGGAGCATCCACCACCTCCCGAGGCAGTGTGTTCCACTGCTCAACCACTCTGACATTTAGGAAGTTTCTCCTGATATTTAGCTGGTATCGACTTGCTTATCTTTCTCCACAGTCAGAGTCTGTGGAAAGAAAAGGGTGAGGAGGAGAGTGAGATCTTGGCTTAGCAGTACAGAAGAAAGCATCAGAACTGGTTTATCATTACCAGAGTGACCCTGGAAATCTCAGGCCTCCTGTCTCCTTCCCACCAGTGGAGCCCAGAAATTTCCACTTCTGTGGAAAACCATAGTACTTCGTCTTTGGGTTCCAAACAACAAACTGTAATAGTGTTCTCTTCCAAGCCAGACTTACTCCAGATTTAGATCTCTGGTTTCAAGGAAAAGAGCAAGGTGCAGTTTTTGGTTTGCACATAATGACAAATCGTTGTTCCCCTCAAAGAAAAATGATTAAAATTCAGTCTGTACGTCTCACACGAGACCGAAGATTTCCAAGGCTCATTCTGGTCACAGCCAGCCAAAGTTGGCTGTTGCAAGTGACTCATGCCTTAACTTCAGAAGTGCCATCAAAAGGTGCATTTGCAAGCAAGAGGGGAGGCCAGAGGGGGGAGATCACGTGAGCCGAAGAGATGCTTGTGACCTTAACTAGGGTTAGGAGGATGGAGGGTGCAGAATCTGCCTAGGCCTTTTGACATGCGGGGTGAAGAATTCAGACATCCTCAGCACGTGTCTAGCTTAGCCCTGTTCTTTTCTCTCTTGGACAGTATTGCAACGGTGGAGACTTGGCAGATTACTTGCAAGGTAATGGATTGTTTTGATGCCCTGTTAATTGCCTGAGAAGTGTTTGGTGCTGTGACCCTGCTTTCGTTCTCGTTTATGACTTGGCGGGACTGTTTCTGCTAAGATTCTGCTTGTCTTGAAGGATTTTTTAAAAAAAACTGGAAGTGAGCTAAAATACAGGATGCAATAAAGGATAGCACTACCGGTTCTTTTCAGCCATGCATGATCCCACCCCACAGACCAGCGTCCAAAATGATAGGGGTGTGCTTTTAAAAAAAAAGGGGGGGGGGGGGGGGATTGTAGAATACAAAGATACATTACTTGTTTTGATGGGTCCCTCCCCTTTCATCCCCCCAGGGAACTGGTTCTAAACCTTTCCTGATTTATCTGGAGGGTGATGAAAAGACCTTGTGGGACCCGGAGGGAGCAATTTGTCTAAAGGGGGGGGGGGGGTTGGCCCACCACAACAAAAGCGGGGAAGAAGTGAAAAGTACTGGGTTTGCCGCATGGACGACTCAGACGACGACATCCTGTAGCACACGTTTATTGTACTTAACACACACAAAGTAACTCTAACGGCCAACAGGGCCAACTATATACATATCCACCCAGCAACCCCCCATTCCCATTGGAGGGTTTGAACGTCCCACCAAGGTGGCTATTGGTTGGGGCTGGGGGATCCAGGATCCAAAGTTTCCATTGTTCTAGGATCCAAGCTCTGGCCTGTTTCGCGGACCCCTGGTGGTGGTCCACGTACATAACAAGAAGAATCATGGGCCATTTATAATCCTGCTAATTTGGAATTTTGAACAGTGCCTCACAGATTGCTGGGAAGCAAAAATACGGTTTTGCCCCTGCAGAGCACATGATACATTTCCCCTCAGAATTGGGTGCAGAATGCTTCTTCCTCCCCCTTGACATTTGTAAAGGGCGCATGATGTCTAAGCGTAACAAGGCTGCTTGTGGGAAGGCTGCAGGGGTGGGGAGCAGCTGCTGTCGTTTGTGGGAGTCCCATGCGGAGAGAGATGACTCTTCTTCTAGCTGCGGCTTGAGGTTTTTGTCTCTCTGACTAGGGTCTGTGTGTGGGGATGGGAAGAAAGGCTTATGCGCTGCGTAGGATTTGGGGAGGGGAATTCTGCCTGGGCCTTGAAGAAAGGTCCATGGTGCCCCTGCCCCGCAGGACCCTTGCGGTGGGAACAAGCCTGTGCCCAGCATCAGGGGCAAAGGGCAGATGTTGCCCTCACAGTCGCATTGTGAGTGAGTAGAGCAGTTAACTTTCCCACCAGAGAGAATGTCAATCATTAACTCCTATGGGAGAAAGTAAGCAGGTGTTCTCTGGGGACACCTGCTCTCTGCCCCAGTAACTTCTGCTGTTCAGAATTGAGCCATGTTCCCGTTTGCCATCCAGGTTTTACATTTGTGTTTTGTTTGATATCATTTAAAGCCCTCCTTTTTCCAGAAGACTCAAGGTGGCTATTTTATGTTTTGGTCTCAACTGCGTATGGCAGAATGTTGCGGACCACGTTTTTATAAGGCATAACCCAGCCATATTGAGTCCCGTTGCTCTTGGTAGGAGAGAGCTGTCTGCTGAGTTCTCCCATTGAAATCAGAGGGATCTTAGAAGTGCTGAACATCACCTAGATAGTCTCCAGTAATTTCGGGGTGTAATGGGTCGGGGCCAGTTTTAAATCCTCCATCCCCACAAGAGACAGTAAGGGTAAAGGGCTTCTGTGTGCCTTCTTCAATATGGAGTCCTTTCTCTGTGGAGCTCTTGTTGCTGTTCCAAATGTGGAGGTGTTGCAGTAGCAATAGAGCTATGGCACGTACCATTTTTCCCTGCCCTCTCCTTTCCCCAGCCCACTGTGTCTGCCGTTTCTCCTCTTCCCCCCCCCCCCCCCCCCAAATCACACACCAGAAGGCTCTTTTGGGCTGTTTAAAAAAATTGGTAACTAACATTTCATTGTAATGCATCAACATTATAAATCCGCACAACAATTGTACTAATTCCCAGCTTTTGTGTTTTTGGTTTGTTTGTTGTTTTTTTTAAGTAAGCAAGCCTCTACCCCTTTTTGTTGTGAAGTTACAAGGGGAAATGTGCTGCCAACAAAAACACACACAACACACAACAAAAAAGGGCTAGAGATTTTTAAAATATGAAACCTGGGAACTAATGAATTGTGATTCATTATAACATTACTGTGCCGTAGCTAAATGTCATTACTGATTTTTTAAGTCGGGTGGGTGGGAAATGGCACTGATATGAGCAGGACCTGAGGTAATATGCACTTTCCTATCCACATGGTGGACAGAAAGATGTGTTTAATGGTCCCCATCACAGCCTGCTAGGAGAGGAAGGCGAAAGAAGGGAGCTCACAGGTCCCTTCCACTTTGTTTAAACTAGCTGGTTTTTCCGCTTTGCTTTGGTTGCTGTGTGCCTAGGAAATGCAAATGAGCCCCTGCCCATTTTCCCCCCCTTTTCCCTGCTCAGCAAAGGGAACCCTGAGTGAGGACACCATCCGGGTGTTCCTCCAGCAGATTGCTGCAGCCATGCGCATCCTCCACAGCAAAGGGATCATTCACAGGGACCTCAAACCGCAGAACATCCTTCTGTCGTACACTAGCCGCAGGAAGTCGAGCATCAGCAGCATCCGTGTCAAGATAGGTGAGTGGGGGGGGGGAGTTGTGCACTTCGGCACAGCTGGTTTGGCAAAACGGACTACTCAGCCCTGAAGGCTACTTTGGAAACCCCCTTTTTGGGGGGGTATTTTTTTATTGTGTGAGTTGTGTGTGTGTACCTGGAAGCCATGGCGACCTCTGGTAACTGACTCTCTACTGGGGGCCTGGAGGATATTCAGAGAGGTGGCTGAATGAAGCCTGCCCCCAGTCCTCCCGACTGCTGCTATTCCAAGGAGGTCTCCCATCCAAGTACTTGCCAGCATCAACCCTGCCTAGGTTCTGAGATCTGACAAGATCGGGCTTGCCTGGGCTGACCAGGTCAAGGCCTTTGGGAACCCATTTTGAGCTGCAAAGTTCTGGCTCTTCTGCATGCCTTACTTCTGTTACATAATTTGCACAAAGCATGCACACATTCAGCGGGTGCACACTCTGGTTTGCTAGTACACATAACATTATTTAGGCGTACATTTAAAAATGTAACACCAGGGGTGAGAGCAAAAGGTACATGGGCCTTGTATATGCTTATCAGAGGGCTGTGATGGGCTGCCGCTCTTGGTTGTTTGTCTGCTAGCTCAGGTTTTGCCTTCTGCCTGGCATATAAAATGGCACCACAGACCCATTTCAGTCGTGGCATGATCTGAACAAGGTAGAGGGGGCTTCCTCCATCCTTTGTGAATTCTTTCCTGCTGGCTCCAAGCCACGTGAGCTTCAGCTGGGCAGAGTGGTGAAAGGAGCAGTTGATGGCTGGGACCCTCCGTTGTGGTAGTGTTGGGCGAGCCCTTCAGTTCCCGTTTCATTGCCCATCTTGCTGGCATTCAGTGGCAAAGCTGCATCTCCTTTTTTTCCTAATTAGCAATGAAGTGGGTGGGGGCAGATATCTTCTAAGTGGTCTTATTTTCTTTATCTACTTCATTTACACCCCACCTCTCTCTGCAATGGGGACCCAAAGCAGCTTACATCGTTCTCTTTGATTGGTCCCGAAACGGGACGAAATAATAGTAAAACCGATGGGAATTGTGGAAATGGATAAACTGAACCTAATATTACAGGGGAAAGATTATGAAATATTCACGAAAAGATGGTTGGGAATGTACAGATGGCTAGAAAAATAGATGTGAGACTCTAAAATGTATAAATACAAATGAATTAATATGTATGAAAAACAATAAATAAATATTTAAAAAGGCAAAAAAAGAGATTGATTGGTGTAGCGGTTAGGAGTGTGGACTCTAATCTGGGAGAGCCAGGTTCAATTCCCCACTCCTCCACATGCAGCTGCTGGTGTGACCTTGGGTCAGTCATAAGTTCTTTCGGAGCTGTTCTCTCAAGGGCCGTTCTCAAAAGAACTCTCTCAGCCCCACCTACCTCATAGGGTGTCTGTTGTGGGGAGGGGAAGGGAAGGAGATTGTAAACTGCTCTGAGACTTTCAGGTAGTGTAGGGCAGGGTATAAATCCGATCTCTTCTTCTCCATTTTATCCTCACAACAACCCTGTGAGGTAGGCTAAGCTGAGAGTTTTGGGCTTAAGCATTGTTGTTATTTCCCCCCTTCACATTACCCCTGTATTCTTTCCTCCAATCAGCTGACTTCGGGTTTGCTCGTTATCTGCAGAGCAATATGATGGCTGCCACCCTTTGTGGGTCCCCTATGTATATGGTGAGTGACAAATTGTAATGTTTCCTTTGCTGGTGCTATAATATTGACATTTACCTTTTACAAGGTGAGGGTGCCCAAGGAATCACAGGTGTGGGAACAGTTTGGAAACCCCACCCGTACGTTTCCCCCCCTCCACGATTGTATAAGTTCACAGAGCCTTGAGCAGGTTGATTCCAACCCCCTCCCTGTCCCACCCTATCCCTGACTCTCAATTGCTCTCCAAATTCCATGTATCCTGGAGCATGCACAGTCTTTATGAGTATGTTCTGCTTTTGCTTTCCCCCTTATCACTTTGATTAATTCACAAAATCATATTTCTCTGTATTTCCTCAAGTATATATAAACCTCCTATTTTGTCCTTGAGTAGGCTTTTTGTGCTGCTTTTGTGATTAGCACAGCATTATTAGACACAGTGATTGTGCATGAAACAGTGTTAAAAGTGGCTCATGTCCATTATCAGTAACCCTTACAACAGTGCTGTACAGTGAGTTAGAGTGATCCCATATTGCAGGCAGGGGCTGAAATTGAAAGAATAGTAGTTACCCTAAAGGCTACCTTGTGAGAGGCAAGATTTAAGCTGGGGATTTCTAGGTTCATAGCTCAGTCTCTGAACAACTGTACTGCACAAATGAGTGAAATGATTGTAGTTGTCTGTGTAGAGCAGAATCAGCAGGCATAGCTGTAGAAAAGAGCAAGAGTCCAGTAGTGCCTTTAGCAAAATTTGTGGTAGATACAGCTAGAATGGGAGTCCGTCTGTCCTATATATTGGAAAGTGGTGTGATTTCAGATCCCGAATGACAAGAGCAGGTGAATGACAAGAGCAGGCATGATTGGATTAGGTGTGATATGCAGTGGGGTGGTAAGGTAAAGGTAAAGGTTCCCTTGCTCGGAAGCTAGTCGAGTCCGACTCTAGGGTTGTGGTGCTCATCTCCATTTCAAAGCCGAAAAGCCAGCGCTGTCC